GTAGTACTGCTTGGAAGTACCAAAATACAAATCAGCAAAGTACTTACGCTACTTTGTTTCTGTTGGGGTTCATCACAAATGCCTAGAAGGGAAAGTAATTTTCTGCGAAATCGAAACAAGTTTTTCATGTGACGGAAGCAATTGTGCCACGGGGATTTCTAGACTTTTCTTTGTATTTACTATGGCATTCTTTCTAAGATGATTAGCATGCATATATTGGATTGCCGATGCTCCACGATCTTTCTACTCTATTTTCGCATGGATGCTGCAATAGATTTGTGACATCACATTAGTGGATCAAAATCAGAATCGAAATATGCAAAAAAAATGAGTCAGACGCTAAAAAACGAAATCAGAAAGAGACGTAAAACAATTAAAGCAAGAGAGTAGGTTAATCCGGAGACTTAATTAACCACTCCAGTATAGATTGCTGGAATGTTTCTTCAAAGCCTGCCTTGTGCTTTGCGAACTGATGCTCTTGACTCTGGCAACTCCACTTTCGAATTGCGCTTCGAGCGAGATACCACAATGGACAGAGCTCCTCCAACTGAAGCATTTTTTTCTTCAAAAAACATTTTTTTTTCTCCTCCAAAGAAGTTATCCATCAGCATTTCGATTTTATGGCGTTATCTGCAAGTGGTAGATGCTATTACTGGATTAACCATAGAAAGAGTAAGGTAACCTAAGTGGCCAAATATTTTTTATTCTTGTGATAGATCGTCTAGGAATGCTCGCTTTTGGGCTTCGATGATTGTATATGAGCACATCTTTATGGTTAACGAGTCCTCCAAAGCGGGCAATAATATGTGCCTGAAAATACAGCAATATGAACATGGTTTATTTTCTACGTTTGCCAATCCTCTCCTCTACAAATTGTTTGAACATTCCCAAGGCTAACAAGCCTACATTTAAAAAAAAGTATAGTGTTTACAGCTTATCCATTACGATTTTCGATTATTATTTTACTGTTTGAATAAATGAATTTGAAAAAGTAACTAAAAAAAGCGCGATAGCTTCGATCATCATATCCATGTACACTTATTTCTTATGCTACCCATTAATGGTCATACAGTTTGCTTTGGTAACAAAACAAAATGTGTATCCGTTCTGTTTATTATCCATTTTACTCAAATTCGCAACTACAGCACATTAAGGAAGTGGTCTAACACAAGTAATATGTATAAAGTCAGTTAATAAAATTTGTGGTTCTACACTAATTCAACCAGACGCTCATACTCTTTACGCGCTGCAATATGTTACCTAAGATGGTATATAAGTGGCAGAGACACCCTAAGATGAATAAACGATTATGCTAAACATGCATTTACTTCTACTTAATCCAGGAATTGTTTCAGGTGGCCATTCTTTGCTGCTGGTGTTACATCTGCCTTGTCTACAACACTGATACCAACAGCTGCTTTATACGACCTTAAAGCACTGTTAGTTGTGAGATTTGTGCAGGTGAGAAACTAATTGAAACGATAAATACAAGCTTGAGCAAATCTAAGCTCATTATTGGTTTAAAAACAATTAACAGGTCGTTTGGCCATTTCCTACATTAGAAATTACATTTTTATAACAATAAGCAATATCAGTCATTGAGGCAAGAGTCGAGAGCAGAATGAAGCAGAGCATTTCGTAGGAAAGAACCTTGATTATGAAAAAGGAGGCAAAGTGAAGCTTTAAAAGTTGACAGCCACAAGAAAATAACCTTATTAAGACTTGTAGGGGAGTTGGTCATATCCAATGCTTCATATCCAATGCTTCATGGGTGTTTTCAAAATGCCACCTTTCAATAGCTGCGCACCGTAATAATAGACGCTCGGTTGTATACTGCCAAACAACGATCGAATAAAGGTAAAATTTAGGGATTAGCGTTTGCCGCTAACTTTGGAGCAATCGGTCTGTTATGCCTTCGATGGGCTCCTCTTTCGGAAATCAGTATATTTGCTGGTATCCTGACAAGTTTCACTCCTGTATCTTCAGTAATCACAAATCCGGTTTCAGCTTGGGTAAGCCCACAGTTTACATTTAGTACATGCCAATCTGAATTTTTCGCAGATGTGCACGGATTATGGATGGCCGTCAGCTTTTTATATACATGCCGTTTTTGGCTTTATTCTGTTTTTATTGTGGATAACATTTTACACAGATGACCCTCAAACCCATCGGATTGTTACGGAACAAGAACTTGCCCAAATACAAAAAGGAAAAACTAAGGAGCACATTGAACGTGACAGCTTTGTTCCATACAAAGTAATATGCTTTTGTAAGCAGTGGCAAAGCATATAGTGATATCTAATTTTCAGGAAGTCATATTAGATAAGGTTGTTGTGATTGTTTGGTTCAATGCTTTTATGGTT